AATAAAGTAATAATACACAGATAAGGATGTAGATTAATGTCCAGTTTCAGTATACTATCTATAGATAGATTTGGTTCCTTACTACTAGCGATAGACATTTGAAATTAACTCCATATTACTTATATCAAAATTCTATCCCCAGTAAACAAATCTATAAATAGAATATTGAAACCGCCCATAAGGAGTACAAATACAATAAAAGAGAGATAATAAAAAGTAATTTAAAACTTTTGAATCAGAATTATATAAACTGTTAACTATCGACTAAGTTCACAAATTAACACAAACTTTTGATATATTGCAAAGTCCAAAAAATTGGAAGAAGTTGGTAATTGTATGAATTGTATATGGTATTCATATGATTTCTATTTATTTATAGGTTAAAACCATTTGAATAACTTTAAAGCAGTATGCTATGTGACCATTAGAACCAAAACTAATTGAAAAGTTGATGTGTTATTAACTCTGTCTTGTGTATAATGATTGATTAGCTTAATAACTAAGTATTGTGATGTCAAATTAAAAAAATTGTTAACAAAAGTGTTAGTTATTGTTGAATGATTGGTGAACAAAACTATGAATTCAATCAAAAGATCTACATTATGAAAATTATACCTTAAAAGCGAAGTTAAGAAACTATTAAATAATATTTTTAAAAGTATTTTTTTAAATTACCAGTTTGGTTCTATTAAGTTTTAAACTTTCCCTATTTTTCCATAATAGATGAACCCTTGTGAGCATCCTATAGTGATCTTGAAGGATGTGGCACATCAGGAATTGCGTCAGCTGCTACAATTCATGTATCGCGGTGAGGTTCACGTGCGTCAGCAAGAACTCTTCGCTTTCCTACACACTGCTGAGCTGCTTCAAGTGAAAGGATTGACCTCAGGCAGAGAGGTAAGTGGCTTCATTGTTTCATATTTTTTTAAGCTGTTTCCAGTTGAATCGGCTGCGCTAAACATAAATTCTTTATATTCCAACTTTTGAGATGGATATTTTTTCCATTCTTGTCTAAGGAACCATAAACTGCTACCAACTAGGTTCAGATTAGGCTTGAGAAAAAGCAAGAAGAGTTAGATGAAATTAAATTATCATTGCAATATTGTATTTGTGTATAGCCTTAATAAATAATAACTTAGGCGATGTTTCCAGGTTTTTTTAATGTTAACGGTTTAAGTGATCACCGCTGCCCACTGACATCTACAACTTGTTACGGATTGCAGATGCGTTATCAACAATCAAAATGTCGGCCCCAGTAACCTTACTCATCACATGAAAGTATAATACTTCTATATAAAGGCTGTCTTCTGTTTTTACTTTCCCGGATGAGCCTGCTCATTCATGTAACGGCTGTATGGCATCACTTCATTTTAGTCTTTGTTTTGCAAAAATTAATCTTAGGTTTCAATTTGTCAAAAACCACCACCGCTTACGCAAATTTCAATCAGCCCTGAGAAAAGCTGTCACGTTGGGTGTAATCTATACTCTATACAGATTAATAAAATTGGAGTGTCCATTTGTAATATCAAAATAACCGCTTTTATTAAATGCATATGGATATTAACATGTTCTGACTAATCTCTGAAATGGCTGGACTGATTTTGACGAGACTTTTACAGGCAGATAGGTGTTGTAATAAGGTACTCCTTATTACAACTATGTTAACTAGTTACTACTTAGGCTACTTTTCTTCTTGTTTTTCCATCCTTGATCCCGTTATTTAGGGCTGGGTCTCGTCTCTTTTCTGCCCCAAGACAAACGGTCTTGGGTTGTCGCTTCAGGCAATTGGGCTTTCTTAAGGTCTCTGGCGATAATGGACCACCAGGTCATATCATACATCTTGGGCTTGGCATTTTCTGTCATTTTGTCTGTGATTGGTGCGAATCTAAAGATGCCACGTATATGTATAACTTAGGCTACTTTTTTTTGATTTTTTTGCTGGATGAAGTCGCGGGCACAGCTAGTATATAATAATAATAATTATTATTATTATTCTTACCTATTTTTTTCCACAACGAATGAAAAATTCATTAAATGCAACGTGTGAATCTAGGATTTAACGGTGGTAGGGCCACGCAGCAGCCTCGGCTGTTGCACGAATGCGCAGGCTCGTCTGGGTAAGTACCACGACCTCACAGAAGACCAGCGTAAGTTTCGTCTGGTGAGTGAGGTAGCCGGAGCCCAATTTTCAAAAAGTTGTTAACGCATCTGTAACCCTCGGGTGTAGCAGATGTCCATGGGCGGTGGTATTCACTTAACATCAGGTGAACCGTCTGCTTTTCACATAAAAAAAGGATGGTATTGTTTTAACGTTGTACTCCCCCTTCCCCGCCAAAATTTAATTAACTGTTTAATTGATAAGAGAAATTTTATAAGTAACGTTTTTCGCTAGTAATTTCGCTTTTTGTTTCATCATCATAATCACCTTAGAACGTCACAATGTGTGACATCTGCCGTTTGCATTCACCGATTGCCCGTCACTTACGACGTGTATGTCTGTCCAACTAGTTGACGTTGTCTACTTTTATTTTATAAACTAACAATGCACCTAACATGTTTTGGTTTAAGCATATAGTGTTATGAGTAATGCCAAAGTCTTGCGACATATTTCTTACCTTGGTTTGTAGATTGCAGATTGATCTTTGTGCCATAATGTGTTTCCTAGAAATGCTAACAGTCGTTTATCATCCTCCCAAAGGAAGGTGCCGCGATGCCGAGCTTTTTAATAGCTGGTAGTAAGTAGGTACCTTTGTTTCAAAATTCATAATAACAAAGCTGTGCAAATTACTCTCTAATCTCATCTTAGCAATACAATGCCTTTTTTTTTAGTGTCGGGCGGGAAATCTTCAAAAGAAAACCTGTCATCCTACCTAACAGGGTTATGTGGAGTTTTTACCCACTAAAACTCCCTCGGTGGCCACCTTCTTTACATTTGGAGGGACCCCGGGATCTCCTATGGAACGCACCGGTGTCCCTCGGTACTGGGCGTGAGACTGGCCTCGGAGAAGGATAAACCTTCCCCGATTCCCTCGCCATCTCGCAGCAGCTCGAGACCACTTCGAGCTGCTGCCAATCCGTGTCCCCTTTTAGTTGCCTTTTACGACAGGCAGGAGATACCTTGGTCCTGTTCTATGAGCCCGGAACTACAAGGCTGACGGGGCAGCACCTGTGTCCCTCCCGGCCTTAGCAATACAATGCCTCACATAATATTAGTTATTTCGCAAGTAGTACCTTATATAAAACTTTTAATTTGATGATTGGTATATTAATAACATGTTGAATACCGATTGATGATATCTAGATCATGATTTTTACATTATATTTTTTAAATGATCCATTTATATTAAATTAAGTTTAATCTATGCAAACAAAGAAACGTCAGTAGACCTTTTCATGACCTGCGTTACGAAATAGTGTGAAGATGCGATGTTGAAAAAACGCAATTATTATTTTACATCTTCGTTCCCCGGTACGTATACGATTTCGATAAATTTGGTACTTGGTACCAGATTTATCGATAACAATTTAAATATGGCAATAACATAATAAATGCACACAGAGTTTACAACCTTATTTGTTTGTCTCATTCGACCGTGTGTTCCAAATGCTGGTTCTTAAGTCTGGACTGTATCGCAATTGTCCATGTTATTCAAATAGCACAATATGTAGCTATCTGCCGCTTTATGCCGACCTCTTTATTTCAAGGGCGAATATTTTAATTCACTGCATGATCCAATTGTATGCATGCTTAAAGGGTAAAGATGACAAATACATAGCCCACAAAAAGCCGGTGGAATATTCTCGATATTATTATTACAACAATTGCGCCCGGTTTGTGATGTAAACCACCAATCACGTATCAGCTACTTGTCATACTATGGGGTTGTTTTGACTGTTCCGTAATAAATAGAATAATTAAGCTCACAAAGGAGTACTTATGGCTGACTCAACATCATTAAAGAGGTATTTAGGATATGTTTGTCTATACTAAATCACCGAACTATGCTGTATACCCTAACGCCCGGTTTCTGAAACACTAATCATCGTACAAATTAACTAATCAGCATTCAAATGGCTTTTCAAATGTTATTTGATTTGCCAGAAGGATTTTTACCATGATCAGTGTTTCGTAAACCGGGCATTAGTATCGTAAAATTAACAGATAAACAAGTATTCTTTTTTATTTATTTTCTGCTACTTAAATAAATGTAGTTTGTTTTTTAAATGCCTTGTTAATTCAAAAAGATAACTTTTGCAAGCTTCTTCACATGTTTTGTTATGTATTGGTGTATTTTATTCATTATCTTGACAGGGTAATTGAAATGTATATTTAATATATTGTGAAGTTATTTTGTTAACAGAAAGTTTCGAGGAATAAAGCTCCTTTTAAAATATTTATTTTTATTTTAGTTAGCATTTCTACTATATTTTAAAATATTAATCTAAGAAGGTTATTGAATAATAGTCTTGAAAAACCTTTATTTAAAACAATATTTGAACGACAAAAATATATTGCTTGGATGCATATGCTGGTGTGGCCACATTTTATTAGAATTAATAATTAATATTATTGAGAGCTTTTGTAACTTTATCGTACGCTTTTTGAGACTACCTTTGTTAGAAATATGACCGCGCGTTTAAAGAAAAAGTAAGGAATTCTCATGTTAATAAGTAATTGTGCAGCTTTCTTCACTATTATTTCTCTTACCGCTGAGCACGTGATAAATCTACGGTTGCAATTGAAAATTTCATTTTCGCCGGCATCAGGACTTTGACTAATATTGCTCGGTTGTATGAAATAATGAGAAAGGCCGTATTGATTAGGTCCATTTGTAATGGACAATTCATTTATAGCCGACACGATAACGCCAACACAATTTCATCCGGATTAAGATGTTGTTTCATTCGCGGTGTCACTTGTTTCCTGTACCCAGAGACATTCCTTACGTTGCTTCGTATTATTGTACAGGCGATATTTTTCGGTGCCGGTAATTTTTCGCTATAGAATTCGTTGCTTGTGTTCTTTTAGTTGCGTGGTGCCGAAAGTGCAAATAGCTCAGATTATGACTCATTGATTTTTGTTATTGTCACTTATAGCCCCACATAACCGTGCTCCACATTTCTGCCTTTTACATCGATTGATAGTAGTAGTAGTAGTGTGGCTCTTCAATAGAAAAAATAGAAAATCTCCTTCCGTTCCACCTTCGCTTACATCGACTTTTCCTGCAATAGTGGTTTTAATATATTTCATTGGACTGAATAACTAGCCATGACAAGCACAGATGTCGCTAGCTTTCGTGGCTTTAGGAACATTATTTAAAACAAAAACTAAACTTGACACTTGTATTTCAAGATCGGTAAATTAACATAATTTAATCCGAACAAAATAAAAACAAAACATCGAATGATTCAAAACATTATGACGAAAACATTTAATCTCATGAAGCGTAAATTAAAAAAAAAAGGGACCTTAGCTGCTTATCTTAATAGGTTGCGCTAAAGCCGCCGATTCCCAAATAACGCACTCAGGGGACGAGAATGGTTGAATGATATAAAATTGTACTATTTAGTTCTATGGGTTAGCTTGTTTTGTGTAGATGACTTGTGCAAATGTGCGGGAAGTAGATGGATGCAGGTGTCCCACATGGCCTGTGTTCTAATGCTATAATGTCCTAATGCTCTAATTTCGCATCTGAACATAGGCCATGTTCAGATGGGAAATTTTGTTCTCTAAAATAATAGCATGTATGATTTTTCCCTAAAGCACATATTTTCGGAAGTATAGGCCAAAAACCTGTTAAAAAGTTAAAAGAAACAAACTGGATCGTATACTCTGTACTTAAGTGCGAAGTTGCCTAATGCTTTCTGAAAGGTTTTGTTCTTTGCATATTTTTTTTATTTTGGCATATATGTGTAAATTCCATATATCGGGTAATATTGTCACATGCTTATTGTGAAATGTTTGTTTTTACAGTATTCATTGATATACCCAAACTAAAACATAGCTTCTTTGCTAACTAAGCTTATTCAAAATGACTCACTATTTTGAATATAAGCCTCTAATCTGCGCGGCGAATCGTCTGTATAGTAGGAGCACGAATGAAGTCCGTATCAATATTGGCGGCTGCTTTGATCAAGGGTGCCTGGAGTGGACTCCAAAAGATTTGAGCAGGCCAAAAGGCCTTTACTTGTCGTTGCCATATTTTATAATCAAACAGATTTAAGTCAGTACTGGAGAAGAGAAAATCTTCGTGTCGAAATCTTCGATTCGAAGTCTATGATAGATTGTAGAGTGAGACCACAACAGTTCTACTAAATCAAGGACCGAAATTTTTTTCACGTTAAATTCATTTTGAGGTGTAGCAGAGTGTGAGTTTCCTAGTTTTGGAATTGCCGTCAATTGAAATGACTGCAATAGGTTGATGCCGAGCTGGGCACGAAACCAGAGACGTATAAAAATGTTTTTACCGTTTCAAATTTAGTATAAGACTTTAAAATTTATGCGCTACTCCGAATCCCGTCAACGGGTATTAAAAAGTTAGTTATGTTAAATAAATAAAGTGGTGGAATTTATAGTTGACGAGCTTTATAAACGCGTCCGCATCTCCAGCCGCAGTCGTATGGATTTATGTATACGCGTTTTGTACAGCATAGCGAGTCGCCGCCGCCTGTGCCGGACGAGAACACGGGGCCCGACGCCCCAGAGCAGTCGGGCGACAGCCAGCCCGAGTGGGTGCCCGGCGGCGAGGACACCATTGCAACCGAGGCCTCCGCCGATTTCACAGCAGCGCCTTTTAAAGAGGAGACTGCGCGCAGCCCCCTGAAACGGTGCGTGGGATAGCTATTTTAAATTGCAGACTTATCTCTTATACTCTTTCACCACCCACCGTGTCCCCAGACCCCTATGATTTGGTGCTCAGTTAATATAAATGTAATTCAGCTCTCAACATCGTACCTCCCGGTGTGCACTTGGTCCGTTTAGCGCTTTTGTCTAACCGTGTTGTAATTGAAATGATGTTCTTGGTGAACTTTCTTGGTGATTAACCAGTTGATCTGTTCGATGCTTAGATTACTGAAAGACACGCCGAATAAGAATAGCTGTACCATCAAGAAGAAATCCCGATCGATCAACAACAGTCCAACGCACATCGAGAACACCGAATACACATCTGATGGGTACGTTTCTCGAGTTCCAGATTTTTCTTTTGCTATTTCCTTTTATATTTATATTATTTTATTTCATTGTTGTTTTCTTAAGTTTAATTTTTTACATTATTTCTTTCTTTCGTTTTTATTTTTTATTTTTTTTATTTTTTTATTTCGTTGTGAATCTCATAGCGAGCCGCTGATCGACTTCGACACCGACGTATACAACAATGTGCTGGTTATGCCGGAGTCAGCGAAAGAGTCCGGTTAGTACATAATTGTTATTCAGAATGAAGTACAAAATTGTTTCACCCGAATCCCATGGTCTTAAACGTGCCTGCGCGGCTTTTCGAAGCGGGGTGGATTACTCAATTGTGAGACTTCCCTCTAGGGTGGAACTGCAAAACGGGCGGCGTAAAGTGCCCATCCTGCCATCGGTTCTTCGCCAACCGCTACAATCTGAAGGTGCACATAAGGGATAAGCATGACACGCGCGAGGGTACTCTCCAATGCGACATATGCCAGAAACGTATGCGGAACCCCTCCTGCCTCCGCGTCCATATGTATCATCATCGCAAACAGGCGGCCTATCTTGCCCAACTCAGCTCCCAGGGCGATCAGATGCGACATGTGTAAGTAGACAATATGCTGCGTCTGCTGATGCGACCAATCAATCATACATCACAATGTGCGTACCCGCATGCTTATTGATTTTTATTCTGAAGACACATCGCGCCTGCGACCATATTTGGCAAGGAGTGACCAATTTATTTAGTTTGATAGAATAGTTTGGTTTTTTTATGGTTAAAATGTGGCAAACGAGCTGGCGGTTCACCTGAGGCTATGTGATAACCACCGTCCACCGTCCCTTGCAACACCTGTAGGGTTTTCACAACCCAAGCGGGCCCCGGCTACCTCACTCTACAGATGAGACACAGAAGTATAACACTTCCACTTTGCCTCGGTCTTCTGAGATTTTCTGAAGTTTTGGTACTCGGAAGGACCTGCCCATTTGTAAGATAGTGAACATTGTTGCATGGCTTTACCACAGTTAAAATTGGTTGCGAACTCGGAGCAATTCTTTATTGTGAACGGCACGGACCAGCGGTTGGAGCCCTTTTCGCTTTGCTAAGGTTTTACCGCTCGGTTCTTGTAAATTGGTTGGCCCCGTTCGTCAGAAGCACGCATATGGAAATGTCGGGATGAATTTATCTGCATATGCGAACTTTAATCTATTGTAATATTTTAGCAAAAGTACGATTTAAATAAAACTATAACCAAAAACAATTTAAAGTTAAAAGTTGCACCCGATGTGATCGTTAAGTCACGCGATAATATTAACATTTTAAAGTCGGGATCTTTTATTATCCTTTTGTTGGGAAATAACAAGTAACACTGGTTTATGTTGTTTTCGTAACGCCGTGGTGGTTTTCATGCATTATTAATGTTACGAAGTGATGATCGTTTTGTGCTCGAAGAAGTATTTAGCTAAGATCTGCGAAACTGTCGGTAATCGATAATGTGTTGGGGTGGCGCACGGTGGGGCCTGCTATATGAGGGTCATAGGATTTTTTATATATTCCATTTTTAAAATTTTAATTGACTTGAAAAAAGGGCAAAAAAAGAATCAATCACCTGCACGCGGACCGGGTTTTTTGGTTTCGGGATTCGAACCATTTCCCATCTGAGCTATATAACCTTGTAAATAGATGGTGGTGAAGTTTATTTTCGTACACACAAATAAAACGACGTTTTCTAAAAATGAAACCTAGCTAGGTTTCATGAAAATCAGATCCGTTTCCGAGATTCAGATTATATATGTAAATAATAAAATGATAATATATGTATATGTGATTTTATAGACGACGGAAATATTAACAGAGCATATGCAGAATTTTATTCTTAATCTGAATCTGGGACGTACTTGTGACCTTATTTTTGTTTTTCAAAGATTTTTATTTTTTTCAAATATTATAGACACCTTAAGAAATTATTGCCATACCGTCTCAATACAATAACCTATTCACGAGCACTTAAAACTTGTCGCTGAACGCATAATTACTAAACCGCTTATCAATAGGGTGACCACTCTTATCGGGATCAATGTTTGAATTGATATTTTTCTGGTTATTTCTTGTCAAAATAAAATATCATTATTTTTTTTTAATTATTGAATGCTCAATTATCATTAAGTCAAAGTATGTACTTCGTCTGAAAAATCACCCTGCATTTATAGGAATTGCTGGTTTGAATGTATTAGATGCCTATCGAAAGATCTCGTTATTCTGATGAATAATTGTTATTTAACGTTTTTCTCTAAAACTATCACCTAGGGGGGCAGCCTCCCGTTGCCGGGGTAACCGCAGGATGAACCCCCCCCCCCTCATCTCAGGCCGGCCGGGAGGAGTGGAATCGCATGTCTATTCTAGGGCCCATCTATTGATCGTTTCGTTTGCGATTGCGCAATTGATACCGAACCATCCCATCCAGTTGCGCCCTCTGCCGCCACTCGCATTGTCCGTACCGCCATTTCAGGTCGTATAATTTTCGATATGAGAAATATGTAATATAAATGTAGCTTTTCTATTGAATAACAGTCAACTCGTGTGCAATTTGCATGTGACCAGTTTCTAGAGAACCTGTAACACCTCTCTCTTTGTCCTAGTGTGCAGAGTATGGTCGGTAGCAAATGGCGCTCGGATGCAGCGTTAACCAACACTGATTTGAGGGACGTAGAAAAGTAAGTCGATCCTTTGTCCTATTTGAATATCGCCCCGCTTATTACTATCGTTTTGTTTTGTTTTTGTAACGTTGATGATGAAATATTATAGTGCTATTTACTCAGCGAATGACCATGTTATTCAGTATATATTTTTTTTTGATATTATGACTCATAGATAAACTAGTTGGTGGGACTTTTGCGCAAAAGATTTTTGGCTAAGCGTACTTACGGACAAACGTAAACATTTATCAATTTTTATTTGCTTTATTTGTTCCTTTTTTCTTTATTCTTTAGTTTTATAGCGATGCGGATTAAAAGACAGTTTAAATATGTACATGAGTATAGCACATATGTCCTTTTAATTAAAATCAATATAAAAGGTAAAATTGCTTTGAGGGATACATTTTTAGATTTATACGCAAAAATATATGTAGATTACGGCCACTAAATTATACATATAGTTAAGACAAGCACGCCAAACTCTTTATTATTTAGTATGTAATAAAATGTTTAACAGCTATATCAACTATGCGCCATTTTCTTAACATGCAACGCTGGCTGAAAACTGAAATGGATTTTTTGATTCATAATGCGAATTTACAGTCTGTGGCTACTTGGCGATATTTTTAATGGGAATACATTTTCCAAAATTTATATTGTTATTTCAAAAATTACCTCTAATCTTAGTATGCACAAGTGCACAATGCGGGTTGGCGACTTCTTTATGCTATTTGATTTTGGGATGTTATCTTTGACTTCCATAAAGATATGACTAATACCAAATCCACAGGAAACGTATAAAGAGGGTGTTTTGAAAAGTTCGCCGTCCAAGTACCTATATAAATTAAAGTTTGAGCAAAAATATTTAATTATTTTTCATCATTATACTTATCTAGTTATTTATGTACATAACTTCACTTTATATCCGTTCTACAATACTAGATTAGACTGGCATAAGCAATATGCTAATCTTGTAAAATTATTCCTCAAGGACCTAAAAAATTATTTACCGCAGCTTTTCGACCCCTTCATTAGATGAAAATTTGTAAAAGACCAAAGGAGCTAAATCAGTAGGAATAACCTGCATAGGAAATAACACAAACGTATTTGAGCAATAGATTCAACAGATATGCGATCTAGATGAAATAATAATTTCTTGTACTCTTTGATTTCTTCACATAAAATACTTAAAAATTAAAGTATCTACATTCAATAGTACGATTTACATATATATTTATATATTATGCGATTTTCTAAGTAATTACGACTTTGTATTGAATAAAATTGCAGCAGTCACATTTTTTCGATGAAATTGTACATAATGATAAAAATGTCATGTTCTTCACACTGATTTTGACGCGAGAATTTTTGATTAAAAATTAGGGTGCCTTTTCGCTATTGAGTCAAAATAAAGTGATAAAATTAAAATTTCAAATCAAATAAATTACGGAGTTTTTAGCAAATTTCGTGAAAAAAACCATTTTTGTAAAAGATAAAATTGTTAATCCAAAAACTTGGCTATTTGAATTTTTGACATAAATGTTGAGGTTATGTGAAAAAAAGTGTAAATACAAAAATTGTAGATTTTTTATTACTACAACTTTGTCGTTTAACTTTTTTCCAGTTTTTTTGTTTACCTTGTAGTTTTGCCGTAAAGCGAGATAAACCGTGTTTACCCTTAAAAGTCACCCTCCCCCATTTTCCGAACCCCGATGACCCGTAATTAATTTTTCCTTTCATTTTTATCATATCCCCTTCCCTCCTTTTCTAATGAGTTTCATCTTACTGTTATTTTTCTTTTGGTTACAAAAATTATCGACTCTGGTCTGCTTAAAGATGACATCATACATTGACATCATCATAAATTGCTTGTCAAGAAAATTGCCTTTGCTTTCGCTGGAGTTGTCTTATCAGATTTTTTCCACTGCTTGGTTTGTTTATTTGATTCTGGGGTATAATAATGAACATAGTTTTCATCTATGGTCACCAACCTATTAAAATTTTTGAAGAAGAACCTCAGAATTTTCCAAACAGTTGAGGGAAAATCGTTTTTGCTCGATCTAAGCAATTTTAGGACCCACCGAGTGGGGCACCTGTAGGAAAAATGCCGGTTACTTGACCATGATGTTTTATGTTCATACAAAAAGCTTATAGGCTAGTGGCTCTTTTTCACTTAAATCGCAAATGTTACCACAAAAATGTGGCATTGTGATAGCCAAAAGACAAATGAGCCTAACGTAGAGAGTAAAAAGTAAAATAAGAATAAATTAAATTAAAAATGAGGCTGCGAACTTTACAATCCACCCTCTTAATGTTCAATATAATTTTTAATAGTTTTTGTTATTAATGTAATTATGGAGCATATCAATTATATGAAGCAATTATATGGAGCAATTATATGAAGCATTATACTGTTATTTCTTATCATTTACTGATTTCCGGATAATTTTCAGTACGCCGACATCTGCGCCGGCTGCGGAATCAAATCGTATTGACGAGCCAACTGAGGTTGCCCAAGTAACTCCTGAACACGTTATACCGAAGGCGGAGGCCACCCCTGGCACCGTATAGGATGTACTGCAGTGCTCTCAATCCCCAACCACGACGACCACCAACGCAACCGCAGGACGACGACAACGATATGGCCTACGAGGATGGTGTTAACGACATAGTCGGCGAAAATCATCGTGACAGCCCGGATGGTGTTAACGACATCGTCGGCGGAAATCATCATGATAGTCCGGATGGTGTTAAGGACATTGTCGGTGGAAATCATCATGATAGTCCGGATGGTGTTAACGACATCGTCGGTGGATATCATCATGATAGTCCGGATGGTGTTAACGACATCGTCGGCGGAAATCATCATGATAGTCCGGATGGTGTTAACGACATAGTCGGCGAAAATCATCATGATAGTCCGGATGGTGTTAACGACATCGTCGGCGGAAATCATCATGATAGTCCGGATGGTGTTAAGGACATCGTCGGCGGAAATCATCATGATAGTCCGGATGGTGTTAAGGACATTGTCGGTGGAAATCATCATGATAGTCCGGATGGTGTTAACGACATCGTCGGTGGAAATCATCATGATAGTCCGGATGGTGTTAACGACATCGTCGGTGGAAATCATCATGATAGTCCGGATGGTGTTGAAGATACCGTCAGTGGAAATCATCATGATAGTCCGGATGGTGTTAACGATATCGTCGGTGGAAATCATCATGATAGTCCGGATGGTGTTGAAGATACCGTCAGTGGAAATCATCATGATAGTCCGGATGGTGTTAACGATATCGTCGGTGGAAATCATCATGATAGTCCGGATGGTGTTAACGACATCGTCGGTGGAAATCATCATGATAGTCCGGATGGTGTTAAGGACATCGTCGGTGGAAATCATCATGATAGTCCGGATGGTGTTAACGACATCGTCGGTGGAAATCATCATGATAGTCCGGATGGTGTTAACGACATCGTCGGTGGAAATCATCATGATAGTCCGGATGGTGTTAACGACATCGTCGGTGGAAATCATCATGATAGTCCGGATGGTGTCAATGACATCGTCGGTGGAAATCATCATGATAGTCCGGATGGTGTCAATGACATCGTCGGTGGAAATCATCATGGTAGTCCGGATGGTGTTAACGACATCGTCGGTGAAAGTAATCATGACTGTCGGGATGGTGTTAACGTCATCGTCGGCGGAAAGCATCATGATTGTCGGGATGGTGTTAACGACATCGTCGGTGGAAGTCATCGTGATTGTCGGGATGGTGTCAACGACATCGGCGGCGGAAATCATCATGATAGTCCGGATGGTGTTAACGTCATCGTCGACGGAAATCATCATGATAGTCCGGATTATGTTAACGACATCGTCGGCAGAAGTCATCATGAAAACGAGGATATGAATATCGTTGGCAGAAACGACGAAATAACCAGAAATAATAATGTTAATCCCGACGAGCGGGTGTACGTTGTAGTGAATGGGCACAACCGTGAAAATATTCAAAATTTAAACGGCGACATCGACAATCCTATTATCGACCCGGACAACCCTGTTATCCATGTTGACGATGATATTATCGTAATCGACGACCACGCCATTATTGACTTCAACAACCTTGTTATCGATGTTGACAACTACGATGTTGACAACTACAATGTTATCGATGTTGACAACTACCCTGTTATCGATGTTGACTACTACCCTGTTATCGACGTAGACTACTACCCTGTTATCGATGTTGACGACTACCTTTTTTTCGATGATGTCAACTACCCTGTAGTCGATTTTAACGACGACTTTATCGACCTTGACGACATTGAAGACGAAGACCGTCCTGCTATCGAAGGTGACAATTACCCTGCTTTTGACCAACCTCTTAACGACATGCGAGGAAATATTGTTATCGACGTTGACGGTGAGCATGACGTTGAAGACATACTTCCTGCCCTACGTGCCCTTCGTTTCAACGGTTCAGCGGTTCGGGTGTCCCGTTCGGGGTAAGTACTGTTACGAGCTAGGGGCTCGGGATAGGTGTGGAACGCCGATCGTTTAAATGTTCACTTTATTGATGCCAACAATAAAGTGAATATTAAAATTTTTCGTCACTGTCCACCATCCTGTTAACTCACTATTCACTTCACTTTTCCACTTTCCTCTTTACTGCTCTTATTTTTCGGGTTCCTCCATTAACTACCCGTCTTGCGCGCTCCGAGCCCCTTTTATCGTCGGAATTTCGTTCGCTTTTTAAATAAAGTTCTCGAAATCGAGTTTTATTTCTTTCTACACTAATAATTTAATATAATATCATACGTCATTCCAAACTATTCAATCCCTTAATCGTAACAGTACCACCACCTAACAGAACACCGGCTTGATGTGAGAGTGTTATACTTCTGCGTTTCGTCTTTTGAGTGAGGTAGCCCAGTTTATTACATTTGCAACACCCTACGGGTGTTGCAAATGTCAATGGGCGGCTCTTATCACTTAAAATCAGGTGAACCGCCAGATCGTTTGTCACGTTCTCACATAAAAAAAAACTCTGTTATCACTTAAAGACTATCCTGTGATCGACGTTGACGATGTCTATTAACGACGTGGAAGGCCCTCCTGTTATCGAAGTTGCCGAAAACTCTGTTAACGATTTCGACAACCACCACATATAACACGTTGACTCCCACCCTATTCACTATGCCGATCATCGCCATATTAATGACACCGACGACGGCCTAATCTCCTAATGTTGTGTAATCACATTTACATCGTCTATTGCCGTCGTATTGAGCGGATTCTATTATTGAATAATCGAATATGTATGCATAATCAACGATAGTCTGCTACCACTTTACCCGGTTAGAGCCCGTCACATTCAAGCTTGTGGTACTCTCCAAAATTAAATTCAAATTCATCCCAACTGCATGTATATGATGGCAGTATATACTAATATACTTTAATTGATGATTTGTATGTGTATTATATTGTATTCTTTTTTTAACATACATTCCACCACACAAAATCCAAAGACTGATGCAAAAGTAATCTTATTAATTATACATTATTTTACGGGGCCACGTTTATGTTACGTCTATTATTGAAGCTCACAGGGTGGTTTACAGTACTCTGATGTTTCTTTTTGTACTTAGTTTTTTTTTAATTCTCTATACTAAATAATGGGGGAATTTTGAAATTTACTTTCACCACGGAACAGGATTGCCATTTAAATACGATAAGTGCGTGCGCCCTGTGTTGGCCCGAAATTTACGTCGTAAGTTACTCGGATTGAGCCGCCTTGATTTAGATTAATACAGTTAGAATTGCGTTAGATTTTGTACCTTTAATTTTTCCATCATGTTTAATTTCAATTTCAAGAACATCGGAAATTTACCCCGTTACAGAAGTAACATTTATGATTTTTTATTATTTAGAGTATTTTAAGACAACTCATGGAACAAAAATATTTTTACTGAAAAAATTAACAAAAAATAAAAACCGGACTATAGGGTACAAAATAGTTATCAACGAATTTGATTTAAAATGCCTGAAACGTAACGCATAAACGAAGTCATTAATGGAACTGTGGCGATACGCTGGTTATTTTACAGGCAGCTATGGTAATAGGACAAGTTTTAATTCTATATTTTTTATTTTGTTGCCATTAAATTCAAGTGTACAAATATATTATATTTTTCTTTTTTTCAAAATTATGTCGCGATACGTTTATGCTGAACGGTGCGCTGAGCGAGCTCAGTTAAAGTTAAGGCATAACCTTACAGTACAAAATACGATATTGTGTATATTATACATCTTTTTACGTATGCTTTACTTAGTGTTTAAGTTTTTTTTAATATTAAGTTGTCATTTAAGTCAAACAAACACATTCGAACAATTATTTTACGTACAATTTTAGTTGTATACATTCTCTTTATTATTTTTTTATAATTTTATTAACAAGGGTTGTTAGGTATTTTAAGGAAATTCGTACCTCAGATGTATCGAGCGACTGTTCTTGGTTAATTTTTGTGCACTTTCTTCGTACTTTACGGAGGACTTGCTAGTTTTGAGTTTCCCTTGCTTGGAAGCGTAGATTTTATGATTCTGGTCTGCCAGCGTTGTTTAAAGCTTTAATTTAAGAAAGACTTGTCCCATCGTAACGAAGTCGGTAAAACGTAACATAGTTATTAGCTCTCTTCAGTGAAAATTTAGCAAACATCTAGTTGTAAAATTTGATTATATCCAAGTCCAAATTCACATGCGGTGTACAATTTATATATCTGCGTTTTGGCAATGATGCTTTCACGTTTTTAAACTCAGGATCATTAAAGTATATTTTACTCTTGTCATATTCTATATAGAGCGTGCTCAACAAATTGTATATTCACATTAATAATAAATTACTTAATTGTACCGAGATAATCGTAACATTAAGGATATCGATTTGAAGTCCACAATTAGTACACCGCTCCGGGAATGGATTGAATTCTTTTTTTTTACTTTCGATACGTCCCTAGGTCATTTAAGGTTTTGGTATATCTAACCATTAAATTTAAGATAAACTAACAAATCATCGAAGTCTTATAATTATTGTTTTCCTTTTACATTCCATTAGTTTTAATACAGCATAATCAATCTAAAAGGTTTTGTCTTATATTTTTTGTGAAGATTTTTATATAAGTACTCCTAGTTTAAGTTGTCTTCTTTACATATATTTTGTTTGAAATATCAAAAGAGATTATTACAATGTTTATATAAGGAACAATCTATTTTTTAGTAGTCTAATGTTGTGATGATTTATACTTCTTTGTTGTTCGTTATATCTCACGCGAACGTTGTAATGGAAAAGTCGCGAATTACTTCTTTTCAATCATTTTTACATGGCCATCAAGACGTAACCAGATAATAGGCTGTAATCTATACCATTAACTAACATAATTTTTTTTTGTAAGCGTTACTTGTCCGCTAGAATCGCACCGGAGAAGTATAAATTATTACGCGCGTACGCGTTAGCGTGCACGCACCCATCTCATTTACCAAATTTTGTTTATACCAATGCTCTTTTTTAGTTCATTACGAAGATAGGGTGCACCTTTCCGACCCCTTTGATAGGCCTGACGCTAAAGCGTTTAGGCGATTAATATTTCGTAAGCTCAATGTTGCCCGAGTGTCTACAATTTAATGTAAGTTTTAAAGATCTTCGATTATCTTAAATACTCAACAATAATGGCCAAATGGATCATCGTGCGCGTATTGTGTATTTGCATCTTATGATCGTTTGGTTATAAATGTTGCGGCAATTGCTGCTCGGAGGTCGCTCCAAAACTGAACGCTAAGCCCGATTTCGTTGGGTAACACGTGTTCTGCACGGAGAAACAACTTCTCTCATATGCTTCTATTCTTACAACGGAAACCGATGCAACGGGCAAACCTCTGTTAGTGTCATAAGTAAATACCGGAAAATACCGCCTGATTAACAGTTTTAACCATTCCATTTTCCATTCGCTCTTGTGAATCTACTATAAATATATGTACGTGGTAAATGATATGCTCAAATATTTGACTTTGTACTCGTATTTTACGATATTGTATGTATGTCCTTAAAGCGGTAGTGTTAGTAAGTAAGTTATATCGGATATTTCCGTACACACTTTATCTCATACTGTTTCTATAATATTTATGTCTATCATTGTCTACAGTTGGGTAGTTATATGTGAAATATCGTCATGCCCCCATGTATTCTAGATTGTAAATTAATGTATTATCGTATGTAAGCGTCATTTAATGATGACGTATTTTGTATTGAATTAAATAAACAAACACAATGTATGTTCTTATATCATATTATTATTGTAAATCTGTATAATCGTACAATTAATGTCAATATTAATTTATCAATGACTTAAAACTTGTTTACTATAAATGTCTCTCTTGATGTAATCGATTATGTAAACGGAAATCGATTTGTGTTGTATGTTTCTGTACTGTCTTACATTCCAATATATGTGTTTAATTTATTGTCGAGGTAAATTATTAAACCGAGGTAAATTATTTATTGTCGAGGGAACGCTGTCCTTGTTCGATTTCGTGTGACATTATTACATATGCGTTTGGCTACCGCGTAATGTAATTTTTGATTAGCGGAATCGTTTCGGAAAACAGCGTATATATGTATTTGTATTAGAGACACATTCTAAAATGATAAGCATTTTGTGTATTGTATTCGAAATGGACAAGTAATAAATATTTCAAGTACTTTTCAATTTTTAATAAACAACGAGCGGGCAGTAGGTTTGTCCCATAGTACTAAGTTTAAATTTAGGCATGCGTATCTGACATATATCCACTTCATACGGAATCGTCGAGATTTCATAATAATTGTTACTTGTCCGGCCCAACGTCAATAATTTACCACTTATGTGGTAGGTGGGGGTACCCTTTTATTCAAAGAATAAAACTATATTTAAGTCATGTATGTGGTGATGTTTTCGTCCGTTCGAGATTGAATCTCATTTAATGCTAAAGGCTGCTATTGAAGAAATGTGATATTTAGGAAGGTTGGCTCATGATTGCATAACGTTGGAGTATCGTTATTAACGTTTAGCAAAGCTTTAATTGAAGGAAAACATTGATATTTTAACAGCTTTATATCGTCTAGGATTGTCTATCACATTTCTTGTTCCTCACACAGTGCATTATACATTGATTTCTCTATAAAACTCATATGCGTTGTGATTTTAAACTCGAACGTTACGTTAGATTGTAAAATTATTATTTTCCTTCATCAAGAAATTTGCCAAAAAATTGTCAATTAATTAATTTCGATTCTGTTAGGATCGTAGTTTGAAGTGCCGATAGCATATTTTATATTCAAATTGAGGATAACACACATTCATAGCGAGGATAAGATGGTTAATATCAGAGTGTAATCATAGTGTCAAAGCCTATACCAGCTTACTCGACAGTATTTCGAACACGAAAATTCTACTACATTTAACACGATAATATAA